GCGTGAACCCAGGAGGCAGAGCTGGCAGTGAGCCAAGATTGCGCCACTGCACTCCAGCCTGGGCGACTGAGAGAGACTCCGCCAAAAAAGAAAAAAGGAAAGTGGTTGCCGGGGGCTGAGGGGAAGCGGGAATTGGAATTGAGCACTATTAGGCCTGGGGTTTGTTTTGGGGATGATGAAAATATTCTGGAATTACATGGTGGTGATGGTTGCACAGACTTGTGAATATGCTAAAAACTACTGAATTATATATTTTAAAAGGGTGATTTTATTGTATGCGAATTACATTCCCCCCGCTCCCCAAAATAAAGCGGGCAAACAAAGACTGAAGGAATACATGGCCAGCAGACCTTCCCTGCAAGAAATGATTTTTAAAAAAAAAGTTCTGCAGGCAGGTGAAAAATGGAATAGATCAAAAACTTAGATCGATATAAGTATAAGAAGAGCAGAAGAGAAGGAATAAATAAATTATATTGTTTTTCTTATTTTTAATTGATCTAAAAGATAACTGCTAACTAAAGCAATAAAAGTAAAATGATTATAGCATTATAATCTGATTATAGCATTTGGACGAGTGAAATGAATGACAGGAACATCACAGGGATAGGAAGAAGGAGTTGGAAATAATCTGCTCTAAGGTGTCCGCTCTACCCATGAAGTGGCATTGTGTTATTTGAAGGTGTATTTTATTATTTTATATGTATAATCATACACTGGTCCACAAAGCAAGCCTCATGAAATTTCAAAGGATAGGTACCACACAGACTATGACCTCTGATTACAACGCAATTGAGTTAGAGGTTAATGAGAAAATGAGTTAAAATTCCTGCATATTTGGAAATTTTAAAACACACTATTAAATACTCACAGATTAAAAAATTATAATGGTTTTTTGATATTAGATATTAAGAATGACAAATACTACATATCAAAACTAATGAAATGTAACAAAAGTCAGCATTTTGAAGGAAATGTTTAACCTAAAATACTTATATAAAACAGATGAATGCCTGAAACTGATGAGCTACATGTGCAATTTAAGAAAAGACCTGTGAAACAAACCCTAAGAAAGTAGAAAGAAATATAGAATAAATATAGGAGTAGAAATTAATATGATTAAAAAATATATAATACAGGAAATCAACAAAATCAAAAGTTCATTGTTTGGAAACATAAATATTAAGAAAATAAGCAAGCCTTCAGTAAACCTGATTAAGGAAAAGAGTTAAGGCATAAATAAACAATATTGTAAATGAAAAAAGTAGACATGAATAAGATAAAACAAACATTTAAAAGATTATAAAACAATACTATCAGTAATCATATGCAAAAAAAAAAAATTGAAAAGGTAGGTGAAATGGAATTTATTAAAAAAAAATTTACCAAAAATAATTCAGAAGAGTTCTACAAGTTGTAAAGAAATTGAAATAGTGGTTAAAATTTTTCCTATGAAGAAAACATTAGTCCCAGATAATTTCATATGCATAGTCTACCAAACTGAAGGAACAGATCAACCCAATCTTATTTAAACTCATCCCAAAAAAGAAAAAGGAAGGAATATTCCTCAGTTAATTTCAGGAGACCTGCATAATTACAACACCAACCCCATACATAGTCAAAATGAGAAAGAAAAACAAGAAGGCCATTTCACTCATGAATGTAGAAGCAAAATCCTAATCAACATATGAGTAAACCAAATCCAACAAGGTATTGAAAATAAGCTGTATGCTTTGACCAAGGCAGGTTCTTTCCAGGCATGCAAGGATAGATTAGCATTTGTAAACAATTATAAATGTTGCTACAATAATTTAAAAAATAACATGTATAAAAATTGTGTGATAGAGATAAACATTTGATAAAATTCAACATAAACACATGATTAAAGGTTTTAGTAAATTAAGAATAGAAAGGAACTTCCACAACTTAATAAAAAGAATCTATAAAAAATCTTAATAGAAAGTGAGAGAATGATGAACACAGCATTCAGGATGGGTAAAAGGAGATGGGGGAATGGGGATGAGGTGAGAAAGAATCACTTCGATAAACATAAATTACTGTTAAGGTCCTGTTTTGAGGATAGGTTACCATCAATCTTTATTAACTACTAAAATCAACTGAACAAACATGAATGGGTCAGTGATTAAAGCGTATCATAAACCAGTGGGCCTTGAAGTGTGATTCCTGGACCAGCAGCAGCAGCATCACCAGGAAACTTATCAAAAAGGCAAATACTCCAGCCCTACCTCAGACGTACTCAATCAGAAACTTTGGGGATGGGGCCCAGCTGCATGTGTCTTAACAAGTCCTCCATGAGATTCTGATGCACAGGAAAGAATAAGTACCACCAGCATAAGCCACAGATTCCGTACACCTGCAGTCCAGCTACCAAAAGGGAAAGCCCAGCTGGTGGATGACATGCTGCGGATCCTGGGGAAGGCCATCACACATTTTCCTTTAGAGCTTTAACTAGATGAGAAAGGAGTTGAACGTAACTCTTTTTCTTCATATGCCCTAATCACATGAACACAAAAGGGAGAAAATCAGGCCTATTACAGCTATTAACACCAACAATAGAAACTTGCTACACCTTAGTATAGTGTCAAAGTTTATATAGAGATCCAAGTTGAAAACGCTTTCAGAAAGTAATATGATTTCTGCAAATGGGGAAAATAATCTCCAAGAAGTTTCCTGAAGTGTGAAATGAGGTGAAATCCACACGTTGGTTCAGCAGAGCATGGGCAATCTCAGAAAACTGCAGAGCAGAGAATGTAGGTCTATGTTTGACCCACTGGACATTGCTGCAATTCTTGGAGTGTAGCATTTATCTGCAAAAATCACATTAGAAGCATTTTGTCCTCCAGATAATGATTATACCTTATGAACCTCTGCCAACTCATAGTCCAACCTTGCTGCCCTCTTCAGAAAACCAGCTTTGGTGGTAATGACTTTAGGTTTTGGAGCTCGGATTCGGGGTTGTGTCACAAAATCTGGGAGACGTGACTCAAGTTCGACTAATCCTATGAGAAGGAAGTACATGTTTTTTAGTATCCAGTGCTTACGTTTATTATTTTTAAGGTATATTGTTAACTTTTGTAGCTGTTTGCCAAGTAGTTTCATTAGAATTGTTGAGAGGGTGTATCTCATATAATAGAATGAAGTGTCCCTGAAATGTATTAGCACATTTCCATATAATTAACTCATATTCTCAGTGACTTAGACTGTAAAATGAGAAATGCATTCTAAAGTGAAACTATTGCCCTACAAAAAAGTAGCAATTCAATAATAGTAATCAACAGAAAATTAATGATTCTATGATATGTGGTGCCACCCTTCTAAAGTAGACGTTCACCAGTTTATTACATTTAGCTCCAGAGATGGCCAGCCAGAGCTACAAGTTCAGCAGTGTAACCAGCAACTCGTGATCTTGGCCACATGATACTTTAACTTGTCAGTGAAATTAAATAACTAAATAAGCCTTTTTTGAACTTCATAAGAGGTATAGCCCTCTCCATGAACTTATCCCCTGGTTCCCCATCCTCTTGCCCACTAGTTTTTTGACATTTCTTTATAAAGGGTTGATTTCATTATACATATTTCTTGTTTGCTTCAAAAACCTGGTATAAAAGTTTTCTCTATTTCATTGTTAAATAACTTTGATTATTAGTGACATTAAACATTTTTTAACATTTAGTAGCTAACTGAATTTAGTCCTTGCTGAATTGTTCTATAGCAAGGACTATAGTGTGTCTATTTGTGTGTTCTATAGTGTGTCTATTTATTTATTTGGGTCTTAGCAGTTTTTATTGGTTTGTATGAACTCACGTTAATAATGTTAAACCTGTTCATCAGTGTTTATTGCTGATATTTTTATTGCTTAGCTTTTAATCTAAATTTCTACATTTTGTATATTTGCTCATATTTCTGAGATAACCCTCTTATAGCGGATTTCCAATTATGTAAATTGCTTACCTTCATAGGTGTTGAGATAGTAGTTTTTTACTACAAAGTCCTCTGAGTTATTGTCTGGGAAACACCCAAGACGAGACAGAGGTCCATAGACTTGTGATGCATAATCAGAATAATCCTTGATGATATTTCTTCTCTCCAACTTCCCTTCTATGTTCTTTCCCTTTCCTACAAGTTTTCTGATTGCTGAAATAAAACATACCTCCATGACTATCTCCAAAATATTGCTCTGAATTATACAAATGCAGAAGAGTAAGCCAATTCTAGTGTTATTCACAGAGAAGCTATTGAAATGAATGAATTTCATGATGACTCACGACAGCCAGAATGTAACACTAAAAACAGAGGTCTGCCATCTGTGTGGCCCAGATTGTCATGAGACAGGCAGGAGTCACAGAAGCAGAATCAGCTAGTGCCCTCAATTGGTACTCGTCAAAAATATTTTATAATTGCATTTCAAACTCCAGGCCAAGAAGAGGTATTCAGTAAAAGTTTGTTAAATGAATGAAACTCAAAGTAACTGGAAAATACATGTTCAGTGGGGGAACTAGGGAATTATTCTCCCTTACAAGAATAATCAAAAGCAAAGACTATAGGTTCATCTTGGTTAACACCAAAATAAACCAAAGACTGTCCCAGCTTACAGTTTTTTGGCAGTCAGAGGGAAAGGCTCAACTGTGCACATGAGGAGTACACTCATCTAAAGAGTCACGCTCACCACCTCCTGTGCTCCTTTTCTCTCAGATCCCATCACAGACCCAAGCCCCTTTGGTGGCTCTACACTGTGCACTTTCAACGGGGGTAAAAATCTTATCACAAGATCGTGACGTCATGCTGCAAGAGGGGGCCTGTGTGCCACTGCTGTCTTGGGGATGTTGTTTATGTTTGATCCTCAGCACTTTTGGGTGTGACTTGGGTTTTAGAATTAAGTAAAAATGATTTAAATTTTATTATTTGCCTACAAAAGTCAGATCTATCATTAGTTATGCCAAGTACTGAAAAAAATGTTGATCATATCTAAATAAATATCTGGCAGTTAAGTGCTCTTTTCTCACATCAAGAAAAAGTTAAAATTTAAGTTCGCTAAACATAATTGTAAGCAATAATTTGTTTTGTGATTTTTAATTTTTGTTAGAAAAAAATTTTGAATGATTTTTAAAAATGTGATTATATTGTGAATGAGTGCATATATAGTCTGCACATGTAATTGATACCATTTATTTATTTATTTTGAGACAAGGTCTATATCACCCAGGCTGGAGTGCAGTGGTACAATCATAACTCACTGTAGCCTTGAGCTCCTGGGCTTAAGCCATCCTCCCACCTCAGCTCCAAGTAGCTATGACTACAGATGTGTACCACCACATCTGGCTAAGTTTTAAAAAAATTTGTAGAGATGGGGTCTCACTATGTTGCTCAGGCTGGTCTTGAACTTCTAGCCTTAAGCAATCCTCCCACCTCAGCCTCCCAAAGTGCTGGAATTACAGGCGTGAGCTACCTCTCTTGGCCTTAAATTTTAAAATATAAATTTAACTTGAATCTTTAATTCAGTCATTCTTAATCTTGCACTGAATAAAAATAATAAACCATATACTTCCTCTTTTAATGTATAAAGTATAGATATACATATAGTACGTAAACATACATATGTTATATATGTGGTATTAAAATTTCTTGTGGCAAGGTGATTAGGAAAAAGGATGTCTAAAACGTCACCTTTAAGGGCAAAATGAAAAAAGGGTAAGAAACAGGGCTCTTTATCCAGGGCTGTGGACCATGAATATGGGGAACCTAACACCTATCCCACCACACATACATACAGACACACACATACACATACACACACACACACACACACATTATCTCAATAACTTGATTACCTGTTAGGACACCATCACTTGATTTTCTTAGTAAGGGAATTTCCTCCACTCTTCTACCTTTAAGAAATAACTCATCTCTCAGCCCTTACCTATGTGATTCCCAGGACCAAAACAGAATTATATCATAGTTAAGTCAGGTTTGGTCAAAGATCCAAAGCAAAGCCCACTTTTCCACTGTCTTCATTGTTCATACTACACCATTACTTGATACATGTGTGCGCTGAATTTTTGCCATTTTTGCCTCTTTTGCCTCCTGCAGTTTAGACCACCGTGCATTCAAGTGCTTCATATTCACTTCATTCTGATTCTCTTCACGCTTCCTCAACAGCTCTTTTAGAACTTCCAGGCGAATCTCCTGCAGTCTTCAAGTAAATTACAAAACATAAAGAAGCATATGGCATCTCAAACGGAGAGGAAGGGAACGGCTGCCACAGACAGGCTCTTCTCTGTGGGCTGGTATCATGTTCATGTATTGTCAAAAGACCACTCTGGCAAAAATATGACAGATGAATTCAGGGCGTGGGGGTGGCACTCAATAGAGACTCTCTATATAATAGGAATATATATGGGTGTAGTTCTCAAGGATGAAGAAGAGTATGCCAGGCAGATGGGGTAAAAGAAGGGCTCTCTAGGCAGATGGGCCTAAAGGAACAGTAAGAGGTTTGTGCACAGTGCCAGGTCGAGTGGTATTCCTGGAGGGTTACGTAATAGGGGGAGTGAAGAGGAAATGTGGTTCTGGCATGCTGTCCTAAGGAATGAGGTAAAAATGCCAGTGCCTGGCATATAATAGGTACTCAACAAATCTTTGTTTCTTTTCCCCCTACCTTCAACTTGTTCTCCTTGGGCTACCTTGCTCATGTGCATCCAACAATGCACAGATGACTGTGTAATCTGTACCTCCAGCTTAGATATATCTTTTTTCTTTCTTTCTTTTTTTCTGAGACAGAGTCTCGCTCTGTTGCCCAGGCTGGAGTGCAGTCGCCTGATCTAAACTCACTGCAGCCTCTGCCTCCTAGGTTCAGGCGGTTTTCATGCTTCAGCCTCCCGAGTAGCTGGGACTACAGGCGCCCACCAACACACCTGGCTAATTTTTGTATTTTTAGTACAGATGGAGTTTCACTACATTGGCCAGGCTGGTCTCGAACCCCTGGCCTCAAGTGATCCCACCTTGGCCTCCCAAAGTGCTGGGATTACAGGCGTGAGCCACCACGTCCAGCCCAGCTTAGATATTTCTGAACCAGAATTTCCATCTATTTGAATCTCCAGCTGCCCCTTGACAATTAAAAAAACAAAACAAAACCCTACTCATTTGTTCCCCCAGAAGTCTGCCCCTCTTACAGCTTCTTCCCGCTGCTAAAGATCTCTCCTCGTAAGTGCTTCTTGTATTCCCTAGCTCATGTCTGGTCATCTCACTCCTAACATGGACTCCTAGCTGCTAGTCTGTCCTCCTTCCAATCTTTGCTCCACCCAGCTGTCAAGGTTTTCCTTCCTAAAACAGAGATTTGAACATACATTTTACTCCTGCTTAGAAATTCATACCTGAATTTATTCACTTACTCATTTGCCAAATATTTATTAAGTGCCCACCATATGCCAGGCAGGAACAACAATGTACAAGACAAAACACCTTCTCTCAACAAGCACTGTTCCGGCGGAATAGGCATATGAACCAACATTTCCAGCACAAGGAGATACATACTAGGCTAGAAGAGTGAAAACTCTTCCTGGAAGAAGAAAGGATAGGGCAGGGGGAAAAGAGGGAACAGGTGGGGAAGCCTTCCTTAGAAGAGCTGTAAACTCAGGATTGGGATTTGCCACATTGACAAGGGAAAAGCAGGGCCTCAGCAGGGGAAGCTGAATGTTCAACTCAAAAGGACTGGAGGGAGAACAAGATGTCACACAGGCAGGGTTTCTCAGAGTGAATGCACTTGAGAGGGGTGAGAGTGTAGTGACAAATGAGAATGGAGTGGTAGGCTTTGTGTGTGTGTGTGTGTGTGTGTGTGAGAGAGAGAGAGAGAGAGACGGAGTCTCGCTCTGTCGCCCAGGCTGGAGTGCAGTGGTGTGATCTCAGCTCACTGGAGAGGTAGGCATTTTTAAAACTAAGCCACACACCCCAGTCACTTTTCTCTCTAGAGTTAGAAATGCTAGGTTCAATTTTCCATGTCACCACTGACCTCAATCTCTTCAATGGTAAAGTGGAGGGAATAATAGTACCCTCTTCATGAAGTTGTGAGCATTAAGTGAGTTAATGTATACACAAAGTGCTCTAACAGTAGTCTCAAATTTCAGAGTGCAGCATAATCTAGAGCACAGGTTCTGATATGGATTGCTGGGTCCCAACCCCTGATTCAGTAGGTCCTGGGATGGGGCCTGATCACCTGCATTTCTACCAAGTTCCAAGGTAATGTTGATGCTGCTGGTCTGTGGACCACACTTTGAGATCTATATGCTTAGAGCACCATCTGGTAGGTAGTAAGCCCTCTATAAGTGTTCCATGCTCTATAGATATCTTCTTCTTCATCTGATATCATTGACAGAACTCCTTATAATCCACTCATCACCATATTATTATTATTGTTATTATTATTATTGACAGAGCTCCTTACCATTCACTTATCATCTGATATTGACAGAGCTCCTTATAGTCAACTAATCGTCATCATCATCATTATCATCGTCAATCTGATATTATTGACAGAGCTCCTTATAATTCACTGGGGCAGGAAGGGGCAGGAAGATGGGCAAAGAGATGGTGCAAAAGATCTCAGACCAACACCTCTGAAGTATTGGTCTACCTGATAGTTTCTGATATGACTGTCTGATATTACTATCTGCCTGATGGCTTCTTACCTACCCTTCAAAACCCAGCTCAGAAGCTACCTCCTCTTAGTAGTTTTCTTTCTCAAATCACCCACCTTAAATAGAACTAACTGTTTTTTCACCTGGGTTCCACCAAGCACTTTTTGTACAGAACAGCACATCACCTGATAGGCACAGCCCGAGAGGGGTTGGTCTAAGATCTTTTGTCCCATCCTTGTCCACCTTCCCTGCTCCCCCTGCCCCAGTGGACCATAAGGAGCTCTGTGAGGAAGAGCAGTTTCCTATTCATCCCTATTTTCCCAGCTCACAGCACAGAGCCTAGCAGGTAAAAGGGACTCAAAATACATGTATCAAAATTGCCCTCAGTTTAACAAATGTACTCGCTTTCTCAGGTGACGCCTTCACTCTGGCCAGATACATTTTTAATAGTTTCAATGCCTTTTGAAAAGACACATATCTTTCCAAAGTACAATAATAAATTTAAATTTCTGCCAACAGGATTGGGTATTTGACACCTACTTTACCCCAAACACTATTTTTTAAATTAAATTGCAAGCTTTTATCAAAACATCCCAAAGCCTAGATTCAGGCTTAATCTGAAGGTGTTGGAAAAAATTAACATATTCCAAATTTAGCACCAAGCTGAGTCTCTAACTCTCTGGGTCCCTCTCTTGTGTGTAAGGGTCCTTGGTAGCATTGCTATGAACAATAAAGTACGTCAGCACAGCCTAGCACAAAGGACAAACTCAGCAAACGCCCTTCCTTTGTTCTTGCTAGAGAGTTATAATTTTTTGGTTCTTATAATCTCTTATCATTTCCACATATGAGCAACAACTCCATTGCTGAAAATATATCAGTTAAAATAATTCAAAATCCAACCACAAGTACCTCAGCATATTGTTATTTATGTATATTGTTATATAAACTCATCTCTTAATGGAAGAATTCCATAATTTGTCTTTTGAATAGGAAATGCCCCATCAGCTCTAGCTAGAACGCAAGGCATCCTGACTGTGAATACAGTGTCTTGGGGGTGGAATGGGGGGGCAGTGGGTAAGAGCTAGGACTAGTGCCAAGGCTGTTTGAAGGGATACACAGAAAGCCCAGGGACTGGGACAGTGGCACTGGGAATGAACATGAAGGGACAGTTTGAAAGGTGCTTTGCAGAAATTAGTGGGATTCTGTGACAGTTAAGATAGCTACTAAAGAGAAAAGGGAAGAGAAGAATCAGAGATGCCCTTCAGGAGTTGTTCAAACCTGGGTTCCATGCTGACCTTCTTCACACACACAGAGGGCATTCTACGTTTGTATGTTATTGGAGAGAAGAGTATACAGAGCTTCTGGACCACCTCAGAAGCATGTGACTGCTCCTGAAAGAAGCGGAAGCCCAATTTCCTATCTCTATATGTTGAGGATTGCTTTTCAACCCATACATTCGGGAGAATGCTTTGCAGATATAAAGTATTAACATTATTCCCACCAGTACAGAAACAGTTGCCTGGGTGACAGAGAACCTACTTTTCAATCTCCTGCTCTCTGAAGGCCCACTCCTTCCTCTCCATTTCATTCATCATCTTCCTCCTCTTCTCAAACTGGGAGGTGTCACTCAGAGCGGGGAGAGTGGCTTCCCAAGCACGCTTCTCGCGGGCTCTTTCTATCATCTCCACCTCAGCTTGTCCTGCAGGGAGACCCCGACCTGCAGGATGAAGCAGCACAGCTTAGGAACAAGTGGGCCAACCCACACCCCCCACCCCCCCAGTATATAATTAACTCCCTGTCAGTTCCTTTTCTCTTCTCTAAATGTGAGGGCCATGACAGGATAACATGACATTAGGGAACAGCCTCTAGATGTGCCTCACAGCTTGTGTTATCTGTGCCTCACTGCCTCTTGTTAGTAATTGCACCATAAGACATTTTAGTTGCATGTAAGATGCTGGAATGCATTTGAAGAATATTAAGGGACTACTGAATAATCACATCGTGGAATGCTCTGTAATAAACAAATTTACATACTGAAATACAAGGCGTTTTCAGACTCCAGAGGTGGGAAAAATATGGGGTAGGGAATTTGTTGGATAAAGGTGAAAAATACATGTTTTTTTTGAGTCAGGGTCTCACTCTGTTGCCCAGGCTGGAGTAGAACGGTATGATTACAGCTCACTGCGGCCTTGACCTCCCCGGCACAAATGATCCCCCCACCTCAGCCTCTCAAGTAGCTGGGACTACTGGCATGTGCCACCACACCTGGCTAATTTATTTTGATTTTTTTGTAGAGACAAGGTTTCACCATGTTGCCCAGGCTGGTCTCAAACTCCTAGGTTCAAGCAATTCTCCTGCCTGAGCCTCTCAAAGTGCTGGGATTACAGGTGTGAGCCACTTGGCCAAATACTGTTTTTAAAAAGTAACAGAAAATGAAGACACTAATCACTAGCTGAGAATTCACCATCTTTGGGTTTTGTCCCCACAGTGCATGTACAATTTAGGGCTATCTCTTACCTCCAACTTTAGGCATTCGAAGACACAATACCCGTAGGTCAGGCAGGAGGATAGGGACAGCTGGATATGTTTCCTGACCAGCTCCGAGGCACTGGCTGAGACCTAAACCTACGTATGCCTCCCTGGATCAAGTTTTGAGGATGCCAGCACACTTAGGTACCTAGCACCTCTAAATGTGGCCTTGCAAAAGCAAGTAAAGGAAAGGGAGGCTGGAACAAGTTTCCTGTTTGATCCCTGAACCACAATAAGTCAACCTTTGTTTTATTTTCATTTAAAAATATAATTATACAGAAAAATCCAAGGAAATAAGTCACAAGTCATATTTTTACCACGTACAGTAGGGCATGCCTAAGATTTTTGTCTTATTTCAGATCTTTTGTAATGTTTATGCTTTTAGAAAGCAAATAAGTAATATATGAATTCACAATCTCTTGTTTTTAATATTAGGGTATTAGCCAGGTGTGGTGGCAGGCGCCTGTAATCCCAGCTACTCGGGAGACTGAGGCAGAAGAATGGCTTGAACCCGGGAGGTGGAGGTTGCAGTGAGCCGAGATCGCGCCACTGCACTCCAGCCTGGGGGACAGAGCGAGACTCCATCTCAAAAAATAAATAAAATAAAATAAAATAAAATTAGGGTATTATAGAGAAGGCTAAAGTTCTGTACTCTGCTTCCTCATTCTGATCACCTTCCCAGAGGCAGTCACAATGATGCATTTAGTGAAGAGGAATACTACCAGCTCATCTTTTTACTTTTATAGATGTATAAAGAAGTAAATAAATCTGTATACAAAACAACATATATATGTATGTGTATATATGTATATATATGTATCTACATATTATTTTGTGGGTCTTGCATGGCATTTTCTTTAGTAATTTTAAAAATAACTATGAAAATCATACCATAAGTATGCAGACTTAACAACTGTACACATTTTGTCATATATACTTTACATTTTTTAATAAAAAATTGAAACATTATAAATAAAGCCGATGTACCTTTTAACTACCACATTGAGTCCCATTGCCTTCTCCCATTTCCCAAAGTAAACACAAAAAGGAATTTGTGGATTTCCACTCAATCTTAACATTTTATATACAAATTTATGTGTCTATGAATTATAATAATAATGAAATCTAACATTACTTAAGCACTTTTATTATGCCAAGCACTTTTTTTTTTTTTGAGACGAAGTCTCGCTCTTGTCACCCAAGCTGGAGTGCAATGGTGCGATCCCGGCTCACTGCAACCTCCGCTTCCCGAGTTCAAGTGATTCTCCTGCCTTAGCCTCCCTAGTAGCTGGGATTGCAGGCACCTGTCACCATGCCCGGCTCATTTTTTTTGTATTTTTAGTAGAGACGGGGTTTCACCATGTTGGCCAGGGTGATCTCGAACTCCTGACCTCAGGTGATCTGCCCACCTCGGCCTCCCAAAGTGTTGGGATTACAGGCGTGAGCCACTGCGCCGGCTATTTAAGCACTTGTATTATGTCAAGCACTTTTCTAATGCATTCAATCTTCAACAAATCCCTATCATGTAAACATAATTATGCCTGTTTTACAAATAAAGAGACTGAAGGGCTAAAAGGTTAAGTAACTTGCACATGGCAGTCTGAACCTTATATTTTTGTGCACTATACTATACTTCCTCTCTAGTAAAAACAAATATGAACCAAAAATGAATTATATAGAAGCAAGACACAGTACTGATGTTTATTTAATATTTATATACATGGTATTGTACTATAACCATTCTGCAACTTGCTTTTTTAACTCATCTTTGTTTTGGAAGCCTAGCTGTACTGATGTATACAGATCTGGTTTCCTTCTTCCACTGTAAGGCTTTATTACAATTTAAGCTATCTATCTTTTCAAATGACATTTAGATTGCTTTTAATTTTTTGATCATACATAATGTTGCAACAAACATCCTTGTACTGGTCTCATTGTACCATATGTGAGCTTCTCTAGGATTCTTAGAAGTAGAAATGCTAGAGTCTAGCAGCTACATCACAAAATATGATCATTTTTAATTCTGGATATTGCTTAATTTACCCTCAGAAGTATATTTTTGCTCCTGCCTTCTGAGGTCCCCTGATGGTTCCTCTCCCATGGTGCATGCTTCACTTCCTCCCACATTGCATCTGCCCAATCTCAGCTGCTTTTTGCAGTCCTTACAAATATTTAGTGGTTCGTGAATTACATATATTTTTAGTTTTACTGAAAATGGAGTTTGTGGGAGTATTGTTGTTGTTACTTTTGTAAAATTTCTGGGAAGAGAAGATGAAAAGTGCTAATTTACCCAGGCATAGTTATATTGAGAGTGGGAATCTGGATTAGAACTACTTGAAGGTATAAATTATTTGAGGGAGAAGTCTTATCTCTTCAAGCATGAGTTTCCCATTGATAAATATGTTCTCTCTTTTCATCAAATCTTTGTTTACATGCTTAAAGAATAATTTATAATTTTCAACATAAATCCCTTGCACATGTTTTTGTTAAGTGATTCCCTAGGCACTTTGTTATTCATTGCTATTGTGCATGTAATTTTTTTCAGCCAAGTGCGGTGGCTCACCTATAATCCCAGCACTTTTGGAGGCCGAGACAGGAGAATTTCTAACTCCAAGAATTGGAGACCAGCCTGGGCAACATACTGAAACCCCATCTCCACAAAAAAATATATTTTTTTAATTAGCCTGGCGTGGTGATGTGGACCTGTGGCCCTAGCTACTTGGGAGGGTGGGGTGAAAGGATCACTTGAGCCATAGGGTTTGAGGCTGCAGTGAGCTATAATCACATTACTACACCTCAACCTGGGCAACAGAGTGAGACTACATCTCTAAAACAAATAAATGAATGTAATTTTTTTCAATAAATTTTTTTTGGCAGAGTCTTGCTCTGTCACCTAGGCTGGAGTGCAGTGGTACAATCTTGGCTCACTGAAACCTCCACCTCCTGGGTTGGAGTGATTCTCCTGCCTCAGCCTCCTGAGTAGCTGGGACTACAGGCAAACGCCACCATGCCCAGCTAATTTCTTTGTATTTTTAGTAGAGACGGGGTTTCACCATATTGGCCAGGCTGGTCTTGAACACCTGATCTCAGGTGAATAATGTTTCTTTTCTTTTTCTTTCTTTCATCTTCTTTTCCTTCTCTTTTCTTTCTTTTCTTTTTTTTCTTTCTTTCTTTCTTTCTTTTTTTTTTTTTGAGACAGAGTCACACTCTGTTGCCTAGGTGGGAGTACAGTGGCAAGATTATAGTTCACTGTACACTGTAACCTTGAACCCCTGGGCTCAAGCAATCCTGCTTCAGCCTCCTGAGTAGCTAGGACCACAGGTGTGCACCACCACACTCAGCTAATTCTTCTTTTGTAGAAATGGAGGTCTCACTATGTTATCCAAGTTGGTCTTAAACTCCTGGCCTCAATCAATCCTCCTGCCCTGGCCTCCCAAAGTGCTGGGATTACAGGTGTGAGCCACTGCACCTGGCCTCAACAATGTTTTCTAATTGGATATTGCTGTCATATAGGAAAGTGACTGATCTATGTTGACTTCTTGTTGAACTCTCTTTTTAGTTCTGATAATTTATTTGATTTTTGAAGTGAGCATGTGTGCAAATAATGATAGTTTTGCTGCTTCTTTCTCATTGCCATGCCTCCATTTTTCTCTTATCTTGCTGCACTGTCTCTCCTCAACAAGGGTACTATTGCCATAATGGGCAGATAATTATTTGTATGAAACTCCCCCAAGCAGCACAGGATGTTTAGTATCCATGCCAGCCTATCCGCTATACCCTGTCCCATGAGCTAAATGCCAGAAGCACTTTCTAATCATTATTACATAGAAAACGCCACTCATATTCCCAAATGTTCCTGAAAGGAGGGATCATAGCCAGGCTTGATAAACTCTGGGCTAAGGTCTTCTCTACGTTGTTAAATAGTAGTGATAATGAGCATTATCAATGTCTTTTTCTTTTAGGGTAAAGCTTCTGAAGTTTCACCTTTAGTATGATGTTTATTACAGGCTGTGGTAGATTATTACAGTTTCCTTCTGCTCCCAGTTTATTCCAAGTAAATGTCATAAATGAGCATTGCATGTTATAAAATACTTTTTTCTGCATCCAGAGAAGGATTTTTCCTATGTTTTCCATTAAAATGGTAAATTACATGAATGGCTTTCTGATATTGCAACAAACTTGAATTTCTCTGATTAACTCCATTTGGTTATAAGTCACTCTTTTAAAATACAGCAAGATTAGATTGCTAGTGTCTTATTTAGAATTTTTTGTATATTTCTTCATATGTGAGATTGGCTTGTAAGTTTCCTTACTAGTATAGTTGGCCCTTCATATCCAGGGGTTCTACATCTGTGGATTTGACCAAGTGCAGGTTGGAAATATTAAAAAAAAAAACTGTGTTCTGAACATGTACAAACTTTTTTCTTGTCATTATTCCCTAAACAATACAGTATAATAACTATTTATGTAAAATTTACATTGCATTAGGAATTATAAGTAATCTAGAGATTAAATATATGGGAGGATGTGTGTAGGTTATATGCAAATACTATGCCATTTTACATAAGAGACTTGCGCATCCAAAAATTTTGTAGGGTTGCAGGGTCCTAGCATCAATCTCCTATTAATACTAAGTAACAACCGTACTGTCCTTACTCAGTTTTCAAATTAAGGCTATACTGGTCTCATAAAATGAATAAATTAACTTCTATTCTGTGTTTCCTGGAAGAAGTTGCATAAAACAGTTTATTTGGTCCTTAAAGGAGTGGTAAACTTACTTGTAAAACTGTTTAGGCCTGGTGCTCTTAAAAGGATTTTTTTTTTCTATTTACCAAGTCCATTTCTATAGTTACTCTTCTATTCAGGTTTATGATTTCTTCTTAAAACCAAGTGAGCAATTTATATTTTCTTTAAAAATTGTATAATTTATCTAAGTTTTTTTTTATTTATTTGAGATGGAGTCTCGCTCTGTCACCCAGGCCGGAGAACAGTGGTGCAATCTCAGCTCACTCACTGCAACCTCAGCCTCCTGAGTAGCTGGGATTACAGGCGCCCACCACCATGTGTGGCTAATGTTTGTATTTTCAGTAGAGACAGGGTTTCACCATGTTTGGCCAGGCTGGTCTCGAACTCCTGACCTCAAGTGATCCGCCTGCCTCAGCTTCCCAAAGTGCTGGGACTTCAGGTGTGAGCCACCGCGCCCAGCCTTTCTAAGTTTTTAAATATAGGGCAAAAGATATTCATGGCACTCTCGTATTTCTTAAATTGTTCATTCTGTAGTTACTCTGTCCCACTTTCAGTCCCAACACTCTGCTTGCATCTTCTGTCTTCTTTCTTGATGCTTCCTACAAGAGGCTTGGCTGTATTATCACTCTTTATCAGAAAATTACTTATGGCCCTAATGACCATTTCTTTTGCCTTTTAAAATATCTGTATTATCAACTATTTATTTCAATTTTATTATTCATTTAACGTGTGAAGATTGAATAGGTTTAAAATGTAAAGCACTTGGATCAGTTTTTGGCACATCATAAGCATTCAATTTTATCCCCGCAGTGCTTACAGTGTCATCCTTTTTGACTGTCATTATTTTTCCCTTATCTTTATGTAAACTTTTCACAAATGTACAGCATACATAAACAAAAACAGATATCCCATCTAATCGGCACCCAGATCAAGGAATAGAATATTACCAGAACACTGGAATGCGCATGATACTCCCTTCCCAGTCTCTGCCTGCCCCAAGGATAGCCTACCATCCTCATTCCTAATGCGTTCATTTAGTTTTGATTGGTTTTAAGTTTTATGTAAATGAAATCACAGTGTAGGCACTCTTCTGTATCTTATTTTGTTCAGCATTATATATGCGATTATATACACATCTACAATCTCCCTTGTAACCACATGCAGTTGTACTTCATTCTCATTATTATATAGCATTCCATTATGTGAATACACTATATTTTATTCATCCATTCTATGGTTGATGGACATTTGGGTTGTTTTCAGTTTGGAGTTATTATGAATAATGCTGCTGTGAGTTTTCTTGTGCATGTCTTCTGGTGAACACACCTATGTATTTCCGTAAGTAGAATAATGTGCTTTTTTTTTTTTGGTGTATAGTTAGGAGTGAAATTGCTGGAGTGTAGCTATGAACACGTTACATAAATAAATTTACTTAATCCTTACAATATCCTATGAGATAGATTTCTTCTTATGTATGAAAATGTCTTTATTTCACCTGCACTCGTTAATAATAGTTTGGCTGGTAAAATAATTCTAGGTTTGCAATCATTTTCCCACATCACCTTAAAGGCAATACTACAAAATATCAATCCTTTTTTTTTTCCTTTGTAGGTAATCTGAGTTATCTTTCTAATAGTTTTTTCACTTTTTCTTTTTCTTTTATTAAGAGGTGTGAGTTTTTAAAGAATCATTCTGCTTGGTACTCAGTGGAATTTTTCAGTGTGAAGGCTAATGTCTTTCTTCAGTTCTGGGGAGTTCTCAGCCACCGATTCTTGCATTGCTTCTCCACCATTTTCCCTGTACTGATGTCCTAGCACCCACAGCTCTTCCTTTTCTTTTACCTTGTTCTACCACTATATGCTGCATTCTGGAATATGTGTCTATTCAATCTGTCATTTCACTAATTTGCTCTTCAGTTCTGTCTGTTCCAGTATTGAGTTCATTTTATTTCAAACATTATAGTTTTCCTCCCCCTTGATTCCAACTGGTTCTTTTTCATGACTCCCATTCTTGTTTTTAGTGTTGCTATTTCCCCCTTATCCTTTTGAGAATATAGAAGGCACTTCCCAAGTCCTTTTCAGATTGCTCCATTTTCTGTTCACTCAGAAATTTCTTCTCCCATTTCCTTTATTTGTTGTGGGCCACTCCTGGTGTCTCTGTTCCTTGTGTGCTTTGGGGTTTTTGGGTGGAGATCAGCTGCTGGCTTCTCTCATAAGCACCCTGGTCAGTAAGCAGCCTTGACCTGTGAGTGGCTACTACCTAACCTCATTCTTCAGAGCCCTGTTCATCACCACAAGATGAGGAGTCCAAGGCCCCATGCCCACCTGGAGCTAGTTCCACGTGTAGAGGTCCTGGAAATCCTACAAATGGCCCGAGCCTGCTTCCAAAGTCTCCATGGGCCTCTTTACAGGATTCAGATTCCTGAGGGCATACTATATGCTGCTGTTTGTTCACCCTTAAGCCCAAGGTGGGGCCAAACGGCAACTGTTTGTAGGGATGTGTGAACATTGGGAAGAACAGCGAGGTAATCACGGGCACGCATGACAGGCCCCTCAGATGTAGAGCAGAGCCAGGGTTGGGAGAGAAAGGGGCAGGCCACAGTAGGCTCTCGCCTCACTGCCACATTACAGTATAGAATCCCAGGAGCCTAAGAATTCCAATTTAAACTTGTCCTTTTAACTTCTTATAAAGATGTTTGTTAAAAAAACCAACATATTTTACTTAACAGTTCTTAGCTTGATTTATACTTTTAAAATATCTATACGCATGGTAGGTGGGCCTCCCTTAGAGTCTGGGGTCCCACACATGGTAGGAGTAGGCCTGGCTCATAGAGGCTTTTATTGACACTTTAACTTCAGTTCTGCTATGACAGTGCACTAGATTTTTTTTTTTTTTTTT